AAAATTATCTTACAAATTTTTGAAATTTTGTGGTTGGATTAGTAGCGTTTCAGAACGGTTGGGTTGTAATTTATCTGTAAAACGAATAACGGGGCTCATTAAAATGGTACCATTGTACGGACATTGACTATTATTCGATGGATAACGATTTAATGTGTATGACAGACAGGCAAGAGTAGCCATTGAATAACTGTATAGAACAAGTAAACATGTCGGATAAGGTTTCGAAGGAAGATCCCAGACCGAAGAATAGAGAAGCTTCAGAGCTTCAGAAAAACGTCCGGACCACCCGAGCTAAGCTTTGATCTTATTTTGTAGAGAACACTTTGGACTATCTATCTATGAAACAAAATCGATAGTTGCTATGGAAGATTTTTGACTTAGAACCTGTTTTTCCAGAGATCCTCTGCACACAACTAGCCTTAAGAAAAAGTGAAAGTCGACGTTTTTGCTGATGATGCATTCCTCTACTCTGTAACAACGAAAAATGATATCAGAAAAGTAATAGATCAAGTAAACGGCAGCAGTATACTATCAGACATACAAACACCTATAAATAAAATAGAATTGTTGAAACTGAAGTACAACAAACGAAACCGCTCTTGATTGGAGTTGTTGAGACATGACTACATGTAGGTATTGATGTCAGTCAGTTAGTTATTGATGGTTATGAACTATTTGCGCGTGAAGATAGAAAGGGAAAGCGAGGTGAAGGATTATTCATATTTATAAGGAAAGGAGTGATCGCCAAAAGCATTTCCTCTTTACAGAACAGAGTTTTCGAGACATGATTCGTTAGCGTTCAAGTATCACCATCAAATCCTGCACTTTTCTGTCTGTGTTACAGACCCCAGTGGCATGATATTGATGAGTTTCTTGAGCACTTAAACGAATCTCTTCACAGTATTCGCACTAGCTCAACTTTTACTTTTAATTGTATAAATTTTATTGGAGATTTTAATTATCGCACAAACCACTGGTGTTATTCCACTGTACCGACTTTACACTGTATGAGGGGTTAACTCAATTAGTAAATGAGGTCACCAAGCCGACATCAAACACCTGTTTAGATTTAATTCTCACTCCTGATAACACCGTTGTAAAGAACGTCAGAGTAATCCAAAAATTATCCACATTATGTGATCATGATATGATCTCATTTGAACTGACTGAAGAAAATCCGCTACTTTTAAATCGAAAAAGAAAATATATGACTACAAAAATACAGATTGGGATCTTTTCAGAACAAAACTATCGCTTATAAAGTGGATGAGTATATTAGATGAGCATTCTGACTTAAACACCAAGGTACAAGCTTGGACAAATTCCTTTTTGGTCGTAGTAGATGAATGTATACCACATAATACGATTTCTAGTACTTCAAGAGACGCACCTTGGTTTAATCATGATCTCCAACACCTATTGCAAAAACGAGATAAATTGTATTAAAAATCGAAGAAAAATATCGTACATCGTAATGAATATGAGAAGATTGCTTCTAAGTTTGAGCGACAGTGTAGTCTGATAAAGAAACAATATTATGATAAGCAGTCAGTCAACTTAAACACTTCATCTAAAAAGTGGTAGTCCTTTTTGAAACACGCCTTAAACAAAGGCAACTCTCCGTCAATTCCTCCCCTTTTTGATATCTCAACAAACTCCATAAACGCTGCTCCTCACCAAAAAGCTGAATTATTAAATAAGCCTTTTGGTAACGTTTCCACTCTGTCTCACACCACATCTGCTTTTCTGCTCTCGTCTAAGTCGATAATAATGTCTGATTTCGTAATTTACGAAATACAAATCTTTGAGCAACTCAGCAAAATAGACATTTCCAAAGGATGCACACCAGAACTGACGGAACGGATATTGAGAAGAGGCAGCCCAGATAATTTCACCGTCACTAACTCATATTTTTAATGAATCCTTAAACAAGTGAACATTTCCAACAGAATGGAAACTAGGTCATGTGTGTTCTATCTTTAAATCAAATAATGCTCAACTACCTGAAAACTATCGACCGATTACATTGCTAAATAGCGCTTCAAAAGTTTTTGAAAGAATTATTTTTAAACAGGTTTTTGGATTTTGAAATCTAAACAACTTTTTAATCATATTCAAGCAGGCTTCTTACCGCGCCACTCGACAGTAAATCAACTAATCCAGATAGTAGATAAAATCACTAATGCTTTCAATAGCAAAAGATCTGTCTTATCAGTTTTTCTGGACTTCAACAAAGTTTTCGATCCTTTATCACACGAAGGATTATTAATAAAATTGAAAAGTGCGGGTTTATTCGACCAACTACTCTCATGGATGAAAAGTTATCTGAGTGACAGAAGGATTGTCACGGTAGTTGATGGTAAAAAGCTACCTATTTCTTGTGGTGTCCCACAGGGATCTTGTCGAGGACCATTATTGCTTTTGATCTACATAAATGACTTACCTGATGCGTTAGACAGCTTATGTGTGCTGTATGCTGACGACGCTTCTCTTCATTGTGAAATTACCGATCTACAGAGCGACTTCACTACTATGAATGAGGATTTGAAAAAAATTGAGGAATGGTCTCAAAAGTGGAAACTTGATCTAAATATAAAAAAATATGTCTCAACGTTTTTCACACGCAATGTATCCACTCTTACGTTACCTCCTCTATATATTAAATCACAAACACTTCGATTTGTTTCGAAACATACACATTTAGGCTTGGTTCTAACTACTAATCTTGAGTGGAATCCTCATATTAGTTCTCTAACAAGTGGCCGTGGTAAAACTGTAGGATCTATGAAATATTTAAGCCATATCTTATCGAGACAAGCTTTAATGCTAGTCTACAAGTCATTTATCTTAAGTAAAATAAACCATGCTAGTGTTATTTATTGTGGTAGTTCTCAAAAAGATCTGAAGCCGCTAATAACAATACAGTACAATGCAGCACTTGCTGCTTCAGGTGCAATGCGTGGCTCTTCTCATGAAAAAACTTGTCAGGAGCTAGGATGGATACGGCTAACCGTTAAAAAGGTAGATACGACTTTACCTTTTCCCAAATACCCTTTGCTCGATATACACCGTCTTTTTTTGTTTCTTAAAATACTCCGGGGTAAAACTACTTATCATCTACCTGCATCTTTTATCCAACACACTACCTACACGCAAACACATAATTTGCGTAGTCAAAATAAAAATACACTACCAGTTTTCAAATCAGGACTGCTAATTTACGAGAATTCCTTTATACCAGCAACTAAGAAGCTTTGGAATACTCTACCGAATGAGTTTAGAGAGATAAAAAACTTTTATAATTTTAAAAAACGACTTAAAGCACCTTACTCGTTGCAGTTTAAATTGAAACCGACAATTCAAAGAATGTCTGAGATCCATTTTACCAGGCTTATAGTCAGATTTAGCCAACTAAATGATGATCTTTACAACCGTAACTTAGAGCCATCCTCCTGTTGTGCATGCGATGGCCCAAAAGAAACTCCAAAACATTTTCTATTAGATTATACTAAATATCTGAAGGAGCGCAAGGATATGGAAGACACTTTTCAAGAGATACTCGATATAAATTCTCCTAAGTTGGAACACATTTTGTTGAGACATGATTCAGTTTTACATCTTGAAATCAATAAAATACAGGAATTATTTGAAAGTGTATTAAATTTCATAAGTGAAACAACACGATTTCACTAACGCTGTGGCTGATAGCTTATGTTAACCAGATATTTAGATACCGTTTGGCTTGCGATGCAAATCATTTTCTTCGATCTTTATAATCTCTCTTACTATTGCTAATATGTAATCTAAAATTAAACATACTGAAAGATTCTTTCTTTCTACCCTGTCCTCCTTGTTAAACCTCACTGTTCAGCATTATCTCTCTCCTTCTATTATTGTTGTATTTGTCTAGCATACTTTTTTGATTATCGTTTAGTGCACTTTTATTGTTTACTTTACTTTTCGACAGCATGTAACGGGATGATACCTCGATTTGTTGTATTTTTGAATAAAAATCTACGGTTTAAAAAAAAATAAAGACTTGCTCTTAATTTACGAATGGTCTATACCTCGGAAATTACACTTGAATATTGATAAATGTAAAGCGATGGTTTTTTCTACGAGAGATTCGTGATTCACTACCACCTGTTTTGATCAATAATTCAGTTATTTCTTACGTCGCGAAAAAGAAACAGCTAGGTTTGGTTCTAAAGTCTTCTACCACCACTGAAAATACCGAAGATACCTTTTATTCATTATATTTATACATTCGTCTATTACTGCGCTTTCTTTTTGTTGTTATATTCAACAAGCAGAATCTACATACTGTATGTATTTGATTTAGGAGGAAAAGTCCCATGGTGCGCAATTGGCTTTTGCTTGAAATCCAGTGGACAATACGTAATCGACTACACTAAATCCGAAACTGACATCGGTTTGTGCTACTAGACCTCCACAGATCCGGATACATATGGCACAGAACAGCCCCCGCTATACAATGGCGGGTCTCAACAGACGACTTCATGTTTTTCCTGAAAAATTATATGTTTCTCCACCAAAGCGTCATCTCTTTTCCGGAAAAAGTCGATGTTTCTTTTGAAGAACTTCATCTTTGTTCCTCAAGAACACGATGTTTCTCCACAAGAACTTGATTTTTTTTCCTGAAAAGCTCGATGTTTCTCCGCAAGCGACTTCATCTTTTTCCTGAAAATTTACTACGACCATAAGTATTGCCGTCTAGAAAAGAGACAGCGAAAAGTAGGTAAAAAGGAGATAACAGAGAGAATTGATCTATATAGTCATGCACACATATAACCTTGCATATTAAACGAGTGTTTTTCATATTTAATCTAGAAATGTCAAGCCGCTTCAATGAGTGCTTCCTTGAACCTCAAATCAAATTTTTGCGAACAAGAAAAGACATGAGTAGATGACGGACATGGAAGCGTTACAACCATGTACTGTTAGAGCATACAGAAAACATGCTCGTTATACCATATTTATTCAAGACAACAATCGTACACTTTTAAATTAGGAAATATACGTCTAATTTCATCTTCCTCATTTTTCATTTGATTTTGATAATCATAATAATCTAAAATCAATTCATCGACTTGTTTGCATCTTGTATCTCGTTTTTGGTGATCTTGACATATATCATTGAATATCGTTAATAACAACTGATGAGTAATAGCTAATACTTTTAAGTTAGGTAGTAACAAAAGTGAACATCTAACGGACTTATACTGACACATTTCATCATAAGCAATTAATAACATTTTTATCTTGGATAACTGAATATTCGTTGGCAAAACATCATCATTCAAATGCGTAAAACCAAAAAACCATAGTTCTCGCAATCTGGGACAGTTGGATTGCAGAAACAGAAATAATTTGAGTGTGTACGATGATTGTGGATCGCATAAGACAATTTTACGTAATTTTTCCATTAATACAGTGTTGTTGTTAATATCTAATAGAAATGAAATAGAAAACAAGTGTAGTTCTCCTTGATGCATTATATTTCCTCTGATGAAACTTGGCTTTCTACGGCACCTTTAATATTTAGCAGCAAGATGAAAAGTTTAAAAGATGTCTCATGCGCTGAAATACATCGGTAGTTAAATGATAATCGAGAAAAGTTGTGTCATGACGTCAAACTTCTAAAACAAAAATCCACCACTATATCCCTTATGTATAACATAAAATAACACAAACTATCTGATAGCTTAGTATTTATTTGCACTTTATTGGCTGATTCATGATGGGTACAACCGATTAACTGTTACATGACTGTTATATTTCGAGCATCATTTTCTATATCTAAATACGACGTAAACACTTAAAGCATTTCAGAAAATGCCTCTTAACGTACACCTGGACTGTTTGCAACGGTATATTCTGAAGTAGTACATATTTCTGTATATTTGGACTAATTTCTAACATCTTGAAATGCTTCTTTTTATTTTTGCCACGATAAAGTTTTCGTAATAGGAGCTGATGTTCTCAGACAGTAAACGGCACTTTTTCCAGTTTCCAATATCAGGTTCAGGATCATCACTGGAAACTGCATTTGGTCTATGTGCCTTCTTAAAAAGCTGGGAAAAGAATTTTTCGAAAAATCATGAGGCGCCAATAATTTCATTAAAATATTTCGGTAAACAAAGTGGTGGATAGTGATTCAGGCATCACTCTGACATGTTTGTAATGGAAAAAAATCCAAAAATAAAAACACGATTTATCTGCCCTTCGTTGTCGTACACGTTGCGTAAGCAGCATCTCACAGATATAATTCATCTGACATCAGTCATGATCGGTATTACTTTTTGAAAAAATATTCAAAGTTTCACATTTTCGACACTATCCAAAAATGAACATACTTTTCTATCGAAGCGAAAATTTTCTCAACCAGGACCTTTCTAGCTACTTTACATCACACATCATTTCTAATAACTGAAATGTGAAAGTTTTCGACTGTGCTTCGAGAATAAACCAAACTGATAATGTGGTCGCTTTCAGTTATATTCCTGAAAGATGCATATCTATATATACTCTACGTCAGTTCGCTTCACCTTAATTCTTGAGAATAAAATGTCTTCCTGCTTGTCTCAGTGGAAAAGTCACAATGTAGATAATGGCAAGAACAGCTATGGAAGTTCTAGCTTACGCAGACTAGAAGTAATTGAGCTCGAAAGATATCATGGAGCCAGTTTCTGAGTTGCATGATGTTTTCCCAAGGTTAGAAAAAAACCTTTAGATTTCTAAGATCTAAGGATTTTGTCCTCGAACAATGTTCATCATCCTACTTACTTGTCTTTAATGTTCTATTTGATCTATAGTTAACGATGTTATTTGAGACGCCACTGATATGTTCAAATGCATACGGTACTGAAAATGTTGCAAAATATCTATTGAGTACATAATAAAACCCAATATCTTTAGGATAAATTTGAATCCAATAATCACTTTGATAGGTTCTAATTATCATATCAATATCATTTTCAGTCGATTCATAATAATGACATCTGATCGAAAATTGAAACGCTTTTAAATTTGGTAACTTTTTTACAAGATTTGACTCTAACTCATGTCCATTGATGAGCAGATCTGTTAGCAAATAGATTGATAAACTTTCAAGAGAAAATGAAAAATTTCTAGTGATGAAATCGACTAAATGATGATAACTATTCATGCGATTTAATACAATAATTGAAAATTCTTTTAACCGCACTTTCGTGACAACATTGAAAATGTTCTCTGTGTTACTCTCATGTACATCATTAGATATTCGAATATTGCAAATTTCAATCGAAGGTAAATATTCAAACAATATGAATAACAGATCATATGACTTTAATTGTATTGTTAACTTTTTCATCGATGTACATGGATGATAATGTTCGATTTTTTGTATCGATAGTATTGAATGTTGAATGAATACAAATGTTTTCTGATTTTATTAAAACCAATACTGACCCTACAGACCTGTTAGTTATTGATAAAAAAAGGTTTTACTGAAGAAATTGGATGATTGATAGTCTCACTCATAAATGGCTCATAATTATTTTTCTAAGTGCTCCTGGACATTTCTGACATCATATTCGTGTTCGCCAGAGTCAGTTCAATCTAACCATGTCTTCAGAATATGAAAACATAGGGTGGCAGATACAGCTACTTGTCCGGCGGTGTGTCCTTTCTGAAAATGGTTTTCCAAACATCTTAGAAAATCAGTTTCTAAGTTAAGCAATCGATTTTTTCTCATGGATAGATAGTCCAAAGTGTCTTCTACAAAATAAGATCTAAACAACGGTTTTACTTTACTTGCTTGATGAGGTTCGAACGTTTTTTCCGAAGCCTTGGGACTGCTCTATTCTTCGTCCTAGGATCTTCTGAAATCATGAAAACATAGGTTATCGAAGGCGCTGAACTTCGCGACAATGTTAATTTTTAGAAGAAAGTGCAAGAACAGAGAAAAAATCAGTATTAGCTGAAATAATCCATTTTAAGCTATTTTCATCAAAAATTAAAAAATTCATAACTTAGTCAAAATCCTGTTCTTGTGAAAAGCAAATATACAGTTTTGTAGCGCTTGAAAAGCTAATTCGAATGATGTATCGTGTGATTATTTCCAAAGAACTATTGATTTGCAAATAAAAATGTAAATCACTGAACTGTCGATAATCGGCGTTAATTCGGATTAATTAATCTATATCGGAGCATAGTTTGTCCTGAAATATCTTAAATCCGATCATAACTAAAAATGATTCGCGGTCGAAGTACACGAGAATCACGTTTGTATAATTAGTTTTGATTAAACAGTTAAGTTTTTAAAAATAGACCTTCATATCTTAATTAATTTATAACTCTGTGAATACTTGTCGACTCCCCGAAAACAATGTAGGATATATGCAGCCAAGTATTTCCTACAATCTGAGAAGGTTTAATAGTCTCCCCACCTCCTCCCCTTAAAACCGATCAAGCAGTAGATAAAGAGTAACGTTACACGATGCGCATAATCAAATTCACGCAACTATTAAGTTATGTAATACTGGACAGGAAGCTCGCAGCAATATCTTCTCACCACTATGTGCCTCGTTTCCTCCTTGGTTAAACGACATGACCTGTTTAGCAGCATTATTGATGGGTGAAGTAATTTCTACGCTACACATCCACCAAGCAAGAATAAAAGGTTTATAATAGCGGTGTCGTCATTTCCGTTGAAAAGAAGCTTGCTACGATCATAATTTACTAAAAAACAAGAAGTACATGACTTTCACTCGTTCCTTAGCACAGTGTTTTTATGTCCTTGTTATATGCCATGCAGTTATCAAAGAAATGTAGTTGAATTATTACATTACTTACTACCGCAATAGAAAGCGATCGTAGAGCAAAAACAAAATTTCTGCTATTCAAACACTTTTCTCACAAAATCAACAAAATTTTCCTGGAAAAATACGAAAGTATCATTTTAGTTTGAGAGTCAGTTAGTCGGACTGTTATTCCGTTTTTTATCATTTGAAAAAAGTCTTTAATAAGGGCTAAAAATTGACTTTTACGTAAGTCCGTAACTTTTAAGCCGAGCAACGTACAGAATTGAGGAACGTCTTATTTTGTAGCATAAAGACTTCCTTTCAAATGGTGACTAAGCAAAGTATCACAACTGATTAGTTTAAGTGATATAGAACTTTTGGTATACGCCACTTTCGTAGAAAAGAGTCATATTGGCATGAATTATAGACAGGTGTTTAGGGTGCTTAATTACCATTTAACAGAAGAATCTTTAAGCTACAAAATGAAACGTTTCTCAACTCTGTATGTTGCTCGGGTGAAGAGGTATGAATTTCACAAAACGTTACGGACTCACATTTTTTGGTTGGTACACGTGAACAAGCCAATGAATATTTTTAAAATTACACCTTTTCATAGTGAACACTATTAATAGATTTTAAGGAAAGCGAAGATTTCTCTCAGCTACTCTAGTTATGTTCTCACCAGGATGTTAATCTCTGTGTGTGTATTTTATTGTATAACATAATGAAACGACGGTCAAATATAATAGAAAGAGATGAATCAAAAATAAACTAAGACAAAAAGTACACAAATATCTCATCTTTTCTTTCGTTGTCAAGAATCCCGCTTATGAGTGGAAACCAAAAAGACAAAAATGAGAAAAGCATTTTGTTTATAGAGCCATTTTTATTTCTCTATATAATTAACTTCTTAATAATTGTTCTTCGTCTTCATCATCGTCCAAATTCAAACTAGGTTTAAACTGTGATGAATTTTCCAGTTCATCATCGTCGTCACTTATCTCAACCATTGCGGCAGCTGGAGTTATTATTGTCGATCTTTTATTGGTAGATTGTGATGAAGGTGGTGATGGTAACGTGGCATCTTCTCTATCAATTGAACCGAGTAAAATGTCCTCATCATCTATATCTTCGTCTACACCATACCCAATTAACTAAAAAAAGAAGAGAACATCAAGTCAACTTTCATGCATATCGAAATTGAAGAAAATTATCTTGTTACTCTACTCAGCTGAGATGGTATTACTATTCAAGGTTAAACGCACTTCCATAATGTAAAAAACAGCGTACCTGTTCTTCATTTTCGATACTTTTATTATTTTGACTATCTCCCACATTGCTTGATGTTTGTGCACTTGCATTACCGGCCGATTTCTCTGTCGATGTTGTTGACGGTGTTGTGGGTGTTTTACTTGCGTGTGCACCTAATAGTTCATCTTCACTGGTCTCCGATAGTATCCGTTGTGGTGGTTGATGTTTGGGTTTATTTTCTTCAAACAATTGAGCTGATGGTCCCATATAACACGCTATGTGTAAACGACGCTCTTTAAATGTCATACCAAATTGAAGAGCCTGAAATAGAGACACAGAAAAACAAATGTTTCCGAAGTCTCTGAACATTCGAGGATATGTTACTTACTGTGTCAGCATCTGCTTTCTTTTGAAATGTTACAATTAATGAATCTTCAATTTCACCAGGTTGTACTGTAACAGCACCCATTTGCTAAAATGACCAAAAACCAATCGTCACTTTATACTAAAAAGCCAACGATACGGTGGACAACAGGAGTGAACGTAACGTAGTATCCTGGATCCACGTAACGATTGACTAGAGGGAGTTAGAATTTTTATCAGATTATCTTCTCGAAAAATACAACTGGCATACCTTTTTGCTCAGGCGTTAGAATTCACTTTAAGCACGTTTTTCTGTAAAATCAGACTTTTGATTGCGTATCTTACTCAATCCATTCAAATTTTGTCCGTTCAAGCTCCAAATTTTCCCATGGATGCTAAGCTCCGAAACGCCCAGGTGTTTTCAATTTTTAGCTTTTCAAAATGTAACGTTGTGCATTTAAAAGAAAATGTCGTGGAGAATCAAATTTCGATTTTGAAGTTTTCAGAAATCAGCCGCCCTTCTTATGAAGAAAAGGTGATGAAGAGCCAACAGCGAGTTCTAATACATGAGCAAAAAATATGTCTATTTTATTTTTCAAGAAGATATTCTTCTAAAATTTCTAACTCTCGCCGATCAGTTGTTACGATTCTGTAGCATGACAAGAAATGAAAGAGGGCACAGTCTTAAAGCGATTAGATACATACGAACAGTTTGGTTTTACTGTATAGAATCGATGAAGGAAAATAAGTGATTCTCCTGCACTTTCAGCATCTGTCCTTATTTTCATATGTTTAGGTACCTACGATTCGTTCGTCAAATGAACCGTTAACTGATGTGTTAGTGACTGCTCAAGTCAACAAAACATCTACTCCTTCCACATCATCAACAGCATCCGTTGCTGTTTCGAAGAAAGACATTGTCAAAAAGAATGTTGAAATTCGTCGTCGTACAACTGAGATTTCATCATCGCGTGACTTTCATTCATCGTCATCTTTGTCACGTCGGCGATTTCTCTCACCCTCATCCGGT